GTAAAAAAAAAAACAGAGAAAGAAACATAAAGGGCAGTGAAGACGAATCTCAGCTGGTTCCCACTCCCAGAGCAGCTCAAGGCACACAAGGTTCGTGTGCATCTGGAGGAGGTAAAACAGAAACATTATCTTTGGCAGGAGATTGCATTTATTCTCTACTTAAGCAACTGCATAACCACAGACTTTATTAATAAAGGTGATGCTGAAAAATGTAAGGCTATCTCCTGAGAAGGGCAGGCCTGCAAGCTGTCAATACAAGAAACCGTTGTGGAAAACTGTTTAAGGAGGCCTCTGACTTCCACACACTGATAGGCAAAACTTCAGATGGGAGCAGTTACTTGCTGCGTCACAAAGTTCTGCACCTTTTTTCATTCATCAAGTCTAACTGTGGCAGTCCAAGTTTCCAGAAAGGGAGTGGTGCTCATATTACAGGCTCTTGCAACAGTTTCTTTTCAACTAGCTAAGATAGGGTCTAAAGCAAAAGATCTACAGAATCCAGCATGGCAAGTCTGCTGCCCTCTAATAACCTGCTTCTGCCCCAAACCAGCCTACACACTACCCTGTGTGTGCTGCATTTGGGAAAGGATGTTAGAAAAAAGTTAGTACAAGTTGGCTTTCAGACAGTCTTCTTTACGTTTTACCCCAAATGCTGCTGTCTCAGCCATGTTTCCAGTGTGCATTTTGAGGCAGACCAGTAGACTGGAGAAAGGTTTCTGCAGCATTTGATGATGAGACTGGTTAAAACAGTTTTGCCCTCTCAAAGCAGAAAATCCAATATAACAGTTGGGCTGGTGCAAAGTCTGACTGAAAAGGACTAAAGTGCAAAACTTCCCAGTGGTAGCTACAGTAGGAGTCACAGCTTAGCATCCGAGAACTTACTATCTTAATTTACCTTAATCACACTTTGTGGCTGAGATATCATGCTTGAGCCCTGACAAGCTGACTTGAGACAGGAAGCAACTTCCAAACTCATTAATTTTTTATCACATTTTTACATGCTATTGCACAGCTGTACTAGCAAACCTCAGGGTTAGTTTAAGGTAGTCAGAGCTTCAGTAAGATACAGTTTCTGTACAGCTCCACAGAGACCAAGCAGAGGATTGTATTTCAAGCAGACAACCCTGGATTTACCAAATCTAAAAACAATGCAATGAATAAGTCACAGAAAAATGTCAGAAAAATCTTAGAAAACATAGGGTACACTATGTCAGCACAGCAGCTAGTGGATCACATTTAAATAGGGATACTTTTGATAAGTTTTTGAAGCCACAAACAAAGTGTAATCATTCCTGGTTCCACTGGCTCTCAGAGGTGTCTAGACAAGGTTCCTCTACTATTTTTAAGCTCATCTAGAAAAACACCAACACTGCCCTTTACATGTGTTTTAAACATGTAATGTGTGAAATTCTTTTCATGTCTTTAGGCATGGAATTTTTCTCCCAAAAGACTTCACTGAAAATATCCCACTGAGATAAAACTTTGCAGGCAATAACTGAAACTACAGCACTGTCAGGACAGAGGGAAGATGCTTTTTACAAAGAGGGGCTTAGAAGGTTCAGCCTGAAAAAAACATGTGGATAAATACTTCTGAGTGAACTTACCAACGAGCTCCTGAGGATCTCTTTTCTCCACTTCTGAGAATTCCTGGGAGAAAGGAGGAAGAAACAGATTTTAGTCAAGGTTTGCTTCCAACCTAAAAAGCTCTACTGTTGATTCATTTAGAAATGTATACATTCACTCTGAGAGAAAAGAATAAAATTTCAGAATGAAACACAGTTTATTAGACAAGAGAGCAATGTTTGTACCATGGAAAGTCAAAGTCTAACAGGATGCTCCATTTCCAGTCAAAGCTAGAGTCTAAATTTAATGACAGAATTAAGGCTTTGTTTCACTGAGTCCTGGACACTCAGCTCCTTTTAAATCCCACAAAAATTGCTGTATTGATGCCTTTCCTCCAAACAGATCAAACCAAAGATTATTAATTTCTGGCCCTTATTTTAGAGCACAGAGTCAAGGTTCTAGAGCACAGCTCAGTAAATACAAGCTGGATCCAGATCACAGAAAACTAAAGCCCTGAGAATGCTACCACAGGCTGTGCAACTTCCATGCTCCAAGCAGGGTCAGCAGGATGCATTTCCCAGTGGAACATGAAAATAGCCAAGATGGTCCCAGAGGCAGAGCATAATGACTTCAGCCTCTCCAGACACCCAGGGCCCTGCAAGGTCCAAGGCTGCAGAGGTTTGCCAGTTGTGTGTGTTTGATGTCAAAATTTATTTCTGCAACTGTGCCATTCAGGGCTTTGGCTGATGAACTCTCCAGAAACCAAAATGCCAGAAAGTGTGGTGGTGATGCAGATTGTGTATTCCCACTTCAGAAGAACATTCCCACTGCCAGTTCTCTTGGCTGCTACTTTCCAGGAGGGATATAGCCAACCTGTTCTACCAGAAACTCAAGGGCAACCTCCACTGGCTTGTAGTGCTCTGTTTGGAAATCATCTCAACACAGCTAATCCCTCCGTATAGAAATTAAGGCCACTTCAGTTGCATGTGTTTGCACCAGATTATGTTATAAGACACTCCTAAATATGCTTTCACCATATTGAGACCACATTCAAATATTTTGGTGCTTCTGGGAGGCCACAAGAGAGTCACAAGTGATATCAAGTTCGGCACAAATAAAGTTTCTGAAACAGTACCAGCTGTATCCCAACACTGCCCTCTCCGCCCTGCCTCCCTCCCAAAGACCTTTTGTGACTCACTGGACTGTGTGTCCAAAATTCCTCAGTGCCTCCAAACACTGAAGCTATTCATTCAACCTGACACAGACATAATGCTGCCTCCTTGCTGCTTAGTAACAGCTCTCTAACCCTCTCCTTTACTGCACTTCCAGTCAGGTGAGAGATGCATCAGGTGAGGAGAGAGCAGTAAGGTCACCAAGCCAGATGTGGGAACAGGCTATGCCAAATTCACTGGGAAAATCCACCCAATTTTCAGAGAAGCCAAAGCCCTCTGGAAGCAGAAGACCAAATTCTTTGTGTGGCACTAACTGCTACAGGGCACTTTCTATATCCATTCATGGAAGGGGGGAAAAAAAAAGCACTATTTCTCCATTAGTACACTTGGATCACAGAAATACAAGGCTAAAGCTATTTTAGAAAAAGAAAGAAGCACACAAAGGAACATGCCTCTTCACCCTGGCCAGCTGGCAAGGCCCCAGGCCTCTCTGAGATGGACTGAAGTGTTACAGCTCCAACCCTGCTAAGAGAACACACTTGGGGTGTGCACCAACATCTCCCAGAGTCTTCAGCAGCACAGGCAGAGGAAAAATTTGAACAGAAGCATGACATTTCAAAGCAGAAAACATGCCAAAGAAGTAGCTCTCTTTGGTGAGAGCACTGGACAGGAATCCAGAGAATCTAGGCTGTGTTCTCCACAAGCCTACGGGGGCACAGCATTAATGTGTGGAGCCTCAACCACATCAACATGGCATCAACACAATGAGCTTCAGGTCACCACCAGAGAAGTTGGGGCAATTCTGTGGTGACTAATGGGTTGTGAGGACAAACTCAGATTGGCATGCAGGCTGGAGCAGTTCAGAGAACAGAGAGAAGGTAACATATGTCCAGGCACATATTCACTCATGAGGCAGTGAATACACATGGTACAGAGAGAAGGTAACATATTTCCAGGCACATATGCACTCATGAGGCAGTGAATACACATGGTCAAAGCTGCTTTATTCCCTTTCAGGGGAGAACTTGCTGGATGGGTCATGAAAAGTATTTCTTGCCTTGGTTTGTGACAACAGGCAAATGTTTGAGCTTCTAGCCTTGACTGAATTACATCCTGCACTCTTCTATCTTCAAAGTTTTAAGTGGATTGAGAGGGAGGAGGAAGAGACAGGCTATGTCCCTGAGCACCTATCTCCTCATCCTTCCTCTTACCCAACATCGTATTTACTATTCCATTATCCCTCCTACCTCCTTCTGCCCACTTGTCCTCTCATCATCCAAGAGCACACAGGCAAGACAAAAAAATGCCCCAAATTACCAATATTGCCAAGCAAGCACTTAAGCAACCCAGAGGCACAGCCAAATTCAGCTGCATTAGACATGTGCTAAGCACCCCTGAGGAGGTTGCCCTCAGGGTTTGGGCTGCCAACAGGTCTGCAAGGGGCTGTGCTGCATTTCTGACATGTTCAGAAGACTTGCAAGTCTCCTGGAGCTGCCTGGAGCCAGCACCGAGCATGAGCACACAATTCTCAGGAAACATGAAGTAATATGCTGAGAGATAATCTGATGAACAAAACCTCTCCTGTTATGTACCTCACATTAGGCAAAGACCTTGAAAATGTCAGATGTGTTAAACACTATGTCTTACCAATCTCCAGGATAATTAGTAAGTTTGCTTTCACCAGAACTAGGTTTTTTCCTTCAAGTCTGCTCCATTCACGACAGGCTAAATCAACCCAGTCCTACCAGGCCCCACTCTCCTGCCCCATGGCCTACACCCATTCCACCACAGCCTCAGGTCTCCACACCCCCAGGCCATAGCCAAGGCATCAGAAGCCCCAGAGCCACACCAAACAAAAGCAAACACATTCACCAACACATTACAGCCACACCTCACTGCCCAGAGGATATGAATTTTGCTTACTGATGAGTTATTGCACCTACACCCACTGCTCCATCATTAAGGAGCTGAAGGCATCAACACAGCTTTTCATTAACTTCTTTCAAGCCTTGGGAAAACAAAGAGATGAGTGAGTCTTCCTCCAGTGCTTGTTCATAGTTGCTCAGTTCACTGTCAAAACCCATGGCAAGGCAAGCATCAACAACTTGACCAAAGAGGTACAGTTTGGCAGATGTGAGATTGAAGAGGTCCTGTTCAAACCCTGGAGTATCTACTGAAGGTCCAGAATGTAAGGACAGTCTAAGAACATTCAGTGAAGCAATCACAAAACAAGAACTGTTCTGCACTCCCTTAGGCTAATTTAAGTCTGAAACACACATTGAACACAATGAATTGATTAGAAAAGACAGCTTAAATGCTGTCAGGAAAAAAAATGTGCAGATCTAATCTGATAATAATATTAAGTTGAATGAAATGAAGACTCACCAAGTGGAAAAATAAGGTACGACAAATGCTGCACAGTTATACCTCTCAGTTATGAAAGAGAAGAAATATTTATGCATGGATGAGAGATTTCTAAAGGAATTCCAAGGCATTTAAACAACGGAAAATTTGGAAGGTAACTCAAATTTAAGTGGGGAAGTTGTCTAAATCCATTCAAGGATCTTTCTGTAGATTGCATCACCAATACCCACAGTGTTATTCATCGGTATCTCACACAAAGAGCACAAAATCAAGCAGTGAGTGGTTCCAAGCAGGAGGGATTTTCTATCAAGTCTCTCTATCAGAGCAAATACATGAAATTATTAGAGATTTCAAGTATCCCAGAGCTAAAAGGCATCATTTCATAGGTTCATTTCTATTTGAATTCTGATGCCTTTCAAAAAATAACAAGGTTAAGATTTCACTGGTGACACCTGATACTGCAGAGTTTTCACCAGTCAAACGTCTGAAAATCTGTACAGAAGCATCTCTGAATTCACCTTTGCAGCCAGCCCCATGTTATTTGCACAGCCTGGACACATTAGTCACCCCCTAAATTCTCTCTACCACTATGGAAATACAAAATTCAGGGCAAGAAAAATAAAACAGCCAAGGTATCCTAGTTCATTTATTTCCTCTAGGCATTTCACCCCACCTAGCATTACATGATGACCTCTCAGAATAGCTCATTGAATTAAAAGAAAAGAAGCAGTACTGTACTCTATCATGTACTCAGCAAGTTGATTTTCTGGCTGTCATCTACTCTGCAGCCTTGATCTCACAAGATAACTGCTTAAGGGCCTAAAGCCAGACGGCCTTGCTCCAAAAGACCCACTGAACGGAGTCAAAGGATCCTGTGGTGCTTCAGAGCCAAGTTGGAAGAAGGCTGAAAGAGCAAGACAAGCAGGAGGCAGACTCCTTCCCCCACATCTGCAGACTAACAAAGAGCAGTCTCTGAAGAGCAAAACTGCTATGGGCAAAGACAATTTATTTAAAAAAAAAAAAACCAAGGAAAAATACACCTTTTTAACATCTAACTGGACCACTAACAACATAATTTCTGTCCTTCTAAGAACAGTTGTGCACATGAGGTCACTGAGAGCAGAAAATAGTTAGGCTATTCCTATTCCTGTGTGAGCACAGGAAAAGGTTTTCCGTTTTTTCCACTTTCCCAAGACAAATGTTTTCTTCAAGCCCTGGACAAGGCGACGCTGCCTGCAAGAGCCTGAGTGATAGCACCAAGCCTGCTGGTTTTCATGTATCATCATCAGTTAAGGACCAAACTGAAGGGCAATGTGTGTGATGCATTTCAGCTCAAGCTTTCACCTCACCGAGGCGAAATATAGACTATCTTTTCAGTCCTAGAGTGTTTCCATCCAGTTACATAAAAACCAGTGTCTGCTCAGGTTCCATGGAAAAATAACAACAATCAAACACAGTCCTCACGGCATGGAGCAGAGATTAAAGGAAGGAAACAAAAACAATATGAATCTTAGATTGATGAATTCCAGTTTGGAAAGGCTTGCCCAG